CCTCCCGAACATAGTGAGACAGTACTAGACGATGAAGCAGCTTGTAAATCACAGGCTGAGTAATTCTGAGGAAATATGTTGAGAGGGTGTGTTCCTTCCTGGAGTGTGTCTAGGTCTAGCTTTTGGCTATGTATTTTCACTAGGCTAGAGAAAACAAACCCACAAACCTGACAAGGTGTGCTTAGGGAATAAAGAGAGCGATGAGAAGGGTTTAAATGCACGCTCATTGATCAGTTGAATATTTTATATCACAGATTATAAAATCACTTAAAAATAAAACTGAAAATGTTTTCAAAATGACTTTCAACAAGCCCAGTATTGTAACTTGAGGAGAAAACTGAGACGGGTACAGGCTAATCTTAAAAAATATTTGCTTTGCGCAAGGTTACAATGCTGCCAAATCAGTAGTGAAATAATATCGAAAAATAAGCAGGGTAATCAGAAAGGTAGAAGAAGCTGCATAGAAAGCTGCATAGGGGGGCAGCTTTTTTCACTCTAACCTGACAAACTGCATCTTAAATGTTAGTTGCCTATAAAAATAAGGAAAGTCTTGTGCATTTAGCATCTTTTAATAAATTACAGAGATTTATACACTCTGATTAAGCAAATCTTAGTTTAGAGTTATACATTAACTGGGTTACATTATGTTGGTCTTACATTTTATTTTTATTTATCTATTTTTTGTACATTTGCTTACCTTGGTTTTTTACCACGTCTTTGAATAAATGTATTTTCTACATGAGTTTATGTGGATACATTACAGTTTTTCACTGAAGTGCTAAGATGGTTCAAAAAGAGGTCTCTGCTGCACTTTTAAGTCAAAGCATTGTGAATAATCTTTTCTTTTTGCTAGAGCCAAATCAATATTGTTATTCTGAGCAATGTCTCATGGGTGATGCAGAACAAAAAGAAAGACAATTCCTACCTGACATGAATCACCCATATATTCAGGAGGGCAGGAACACGTCTCTACAGCATAAGCGATATTACCATTTCCTGTACTGATGGCTTCTTCCAGACCAACATCGCCCAAGGTTAACCGCTGAGTTTCTGTGAAGTAAAGACCTCTGATTTGTAATCCATTAAGTCTAGACAGGACCATCATTAGCTCCTCTCGAGATACTAAGTTATTGCTGCTGGTGTGCCTGAAGTTCCCCTGCACATTGAAGATACAAATGAAATTTGGGTTTGGAATACATTGCAATAATCTCCTACAGCACAGGAAAAAAGAGACATCAATTTTCAAAGAAAGACAGCATGAAAATCAGATGCTGGGAGTCTAAGGGAAAAGTTGCTAGCAAATAATTGTATCAACAAAGAACTAAAATCAGGCAAGAGATAATTAAAGGAATGATCTGGAAGGTAGAATCAGTATGTACAATCAACAAATAATAACTGAAAATTGGGAGCAAAATATACACAGTATATATATATATATATGTTTTCTGAGGTTTTCGCGGGTGTTTGTATGTAGGTCTTTAGTTATTCGGGTTTTCTCCCGCGTAGAATTAAACGTACCTTGGCGACGTTTCGACGAAGTCACATTCGTCATCTTCAGGCTGGTGTCTTCAGCTTCATGCTTCTAAGAGTGGAGAAGCACTCTTAGAAGCACGAAGCTGAAGACACCAGCCTGAAGATGACGAATGTGACTTC